ATATTCATAACTTAACAAATTTCTTCATGAATAAGACTTAGTAGTTTGTCATATAGATAATAAATGAACATGATTGAATGTTTCAAAAAGAACAGAAAAAAAAAACAAAAAAACAACAAAGTAAATATTAATAAATCCGACAACAAATCTTAAATGAATACAGACAACATATAATATTAATAAAATACCGAACAATTTTTAAATCTTGTCATATATTGTATGCAAAATATAAGTATACAATAGATGATGATACTCGGGTATTCATAACTCCGATACTAATGTCGGCGCCAGAATGAAAGAGGGGTGAGTGTAAATTGAATAATTCAACAACGGCAAGAGCTACCGACCTGCGGTTTTCACCAATCGAAAGAGAAGGAGTGGGCATGTCTTTTTTTCTGATAATGTATAAGATGAAATCCTTTTAAAACTAATCATATTCGAAAAACCTGCAAAAGAACCCATGAAAATGACTTGCCAGTTATATGAAATTCTGGTTTTGACCTTTGATTTAGATAGAGGTACTTCAGATCTATAGCTGAAGATACAATGCAAATGGTTGTCTTATTACATTCTAACGCTGAGCAAATGGAATCATGCACATACATGCGCAAATAATAGAGAATTTTGCTGATTTTTTTTCAGTTTTCCCACTTTTTATCCTAGTGGCTTGAGATTTCGATCGAAATGTAAGAAAAAGTAAGAAAGCGTATTGTGTCTTGAACTATAGATCTGAAGTACCTCTATCTAAATCAAAGGTCAAAATCAGAATTTCATATAAGTGGCAAGTCATTTTCATGGGTTCTTTTGCAGGTTTTTCGAATATGATTAGTTTTAAAAGGATTTCATCTTATACATTATCAGAGAAAAAGACGTGCCCACTCCTTCTCTTTCGATTGGTGAAAACCGCAGGTCGGTAGCTCTTGCCGTTGTTGAATTATTCAATTTACACCCACCCCTCTTTCATTCTGGCGCCGACATTAGTTATTAAATAATATTAAAAGCAATCCATCATGATTTTCTAAATTTAAAATCGACCATATCCTTTGTGTTATCATAAGTGTAGCAATAAACAGATCTGAATGAAATTCTATATAAAAACGAAAGAAAGGGACAAAAAAAGCATATAAGATAAATAACATGTCGATCCATCATCATCATCATCCTACTGTATACACGAATGAATAAAACAAAAAAAAAGAAGCAATACGGACTTAAATAAAAAGAAAATGAAGCAATGTAAGTTAAAAACGTAGTACACATGTAAATGTAAATGAGTGTAATGTCGCACTATTGACCGACAAAAAAAAACAAAAAAAAAAAAGAAGAAAAGAAACAAAATAAGAAAATTATGGTTGCCAAAGACCAGATTGACGAACAGCTTGTTGAAGAGGTGCTTGTGCACGACTAATCTGTTCTGGTGTTCCCTCAATTGTTATTATTCTATCACCACCACCACCACCACCACCACCATTACCACTAGGAATTGCTTGATCATCAATAATTATATTTGCATTTGTTATTGACGTATTTGTTGAATTTTTGTACCGCGTGGTCCAATTATAGCTCCAACAAGTTCATTAAGTAACATTACCTATGAAATAAAATTTAAAAAAAATTAAATTAAATGACAAGAAAAAAAAACCATAACGTACACGTGTCGAAGTGAACAATGCCGGATTGGCATAGCGAGTACCTAAACGTGGTCCACCACCATAAGGAACATCAACAAGAGGAGGTAAAGGTTGAATAGGATACATATCACCACGTGATCCACTAGATGAGTGTGGGTGTGTGGTGTATGGTGTGTGGTGTATGGTGTGTGGTGTGGGTGTGGGTATGTGTGTGGGTGTGGGGGTGTGGGGGTGTGGGTGAGGGTGTGAGTATGCGTATGAAACAATAGAATACCTAAAACCCACATCCACACCCACACCCCACCCACACCCACACCGACACCCCACACCCACACCCACACCCACCCACACCGACACCCACTCACACCCACACCCACACCCCACATCCACATCCACACCCCACACCCACACCCAAACACCCACACCCACCCATAAGAAAAGTATAATTAGAATGAAACTTTTGGAGACCGTTTGACAACATCATGAATTTTCATTGACAAATAAATATAGTATCAATCAGGTACTGAGATACCATATTGTAGAAAATATTAATTGGTAAGAAAACATGACATATGTTTTTCACTTCAATGAATTTTATATCGATAGATGTTCCCTAGAGTGCTCTAGCACTTGCTGAAAATCCGAACTCGATAGATATTACCCATCAAGAGTTATTCGAAAAACAGTGGAGAGGGTGTGGGCGTGGGGGTGGAGGTGGAGGTGTGGGTGTATGTGGATATGGGTGAGTGTGGGTGTGGATGTGAGTGTATGTGGATGTGGGTGAGTGTGGGTGTGGGTGGGTGTGAGTGTGGCTGTGGCTGCGCTGTGGGTGGGTGTGGGTGT